GTTGGTATTAGGAATGTCACAAAACAATTAATCTTCATGTTTATCCCACAGAAGACCAAGTACTTTCAAAGGTTCGCTAATTGTAGATTTGTCTGCAGTAAAGTATTCCGTTTCTTCATTCGAATTCACTGAAGTGCCACGGTTGTCAATAAGGAAGGATTTTTTTTTTTTCCACTTTGTAGCCACTTCCTTCAAAGAAGTTTCACATTGGTCTAAATGAGTTGGTCACTGCTCCTAAAAGAAACGGACTGCATTTTAGTCCTAAGACTACTCTGCAATGGCGAAATTTTCTTATTTCCTTTTGTCCAAATTTTTCCACCACAGGAATCTTGGGAAATGACAACCATTTCTTTGAACAGATATTTGAAGAAAAGCTCTTTAAATATCTGAGATAATCCCTATTTTTCCTTGTCTAACTTCAAGAAGCGATCTAGGTATCAATTCAATAAAATTTTGACCTTTTGCTAGGCAGTTGTTAAGAGATAGGAAATCCTTTTGCTTGCATGAAATATCAAATACAGGTCTTACTGTCGTACAGTTATCTTTGAAGACCGGTCTGTAGGAAGATAATAATTATTAACTCATTCCTCTTCTTCTGGTACTTATTCTATTACTACAGACTTCAGCCACTCTTCGAACATGGCATTGAATGTGCCAAATTTATCTTTCAACAGGAGCGTCTTTGTTGTGGAAATCAATCATCTTTTTAGCAACTTCTCTGTTACTTGGTAAAGCTTCTTTATCGTTAATCCAAGGTAAACCGACTTCACATCGATCATTCACCCTCTTCAGAGTCTTGTGAATGTGATCCCATACTGTTTCTTCTAACTCTGAATCAGTTTTATTTTCTTTAGCATCTGCAATTCCAAGTGCTTTTAGCTTCCACAATTTTCTATGTCACTGCTGGGAGTCAACATGGGTGTTATTGTTGATGACATGGACAAGGAGTTTCTTTCTGAAATGTAATCATTTATCTTTCCCATGATTGCCCATCAAAGTAGTGATTCCACAGCAGTCAGCCAATTTTCTAATTTCTGAATTCTTCCAGTTAACAGTGCACCTACAACGTCGGCTCCAATAAGAACTTCTATTTTCAAATCCTTTTTCTTACATTAGACGCATGGATATTTTTCTGCCTTAAATCCATGGTCCAGGCTGTAAACTGACTAGTTGTCCACAAAATCTTTGACTGTTCCAACAAGATTAGTCGTCTAGAAAAATCACCTTTTAGGCTTTTAACGTTCACTTCATAGCATTTGTGAATTTCTCTCTTCGTTGTTACTCCTCCAAAAAGTGCATGAATTAAAGATTCAGATCCACTTTCATGGCACCCTATGTCTACAGTAGTGTCCTTTGATATGTATGAACGTTACGACACCATGTTGTGTGACTTACTGTCTTGTGCCTTTTGTTTGGCCAATATTAATAGCATTCAAAATCTAGGAAACGGGCATTCGCAAGTGATACGTTTTGTGTTTCCTCTTCTTTATTCTTTTCAACATCATTTCTCTTTTGATTCGCATGCAAATCCAGACACATGACATCCCAATGTCTTTTCGAGCATATCTAACATCGTACATTTGTCTTGCATTGATTGCCCCACGTTCAATTTTGAGGTAGAAAAAGTAGCCGTTCTTTTTCTTAATTTCATCATTCTTTTGACTCAGAGTCATCTTCTGAGCAATAAAGCAATCTTGACTTTCATAATTTTTCTTACAAATTATGCAAGAATTCTTTTCACCATAACTGGTTCCTTTATTATGGCCTGAGAATAAATCCTTTGCTGTAAGCACGAAATGTTCACCCTGGTACTTTTTATCTCTTCTACTTTCTTTCTTTGCACTTGAATCAATTAATTTAAATCTGGCTTTCGCCAAAGAAATTCTATGCTCTCCTTCCACTTCATTCTTTAAAAACAATAATAATTGTTTCAATTTCTCAAGGTGAGTTTTCTGCTGTAATTATTGATGCATGATTTCTAAGCCAAAGTTGTAAAATTTCCTCAGGAATGCATGACTTAATCAGCAGAAACAGCATTGCAGCATACTTGTCGCTTGTCATTCCTATTGATTCCAACGAATGTAAATATGACCCTTAACTTGTCATATACAGTTCTGATATACTGAATTTTCCCTTTTGATCAGTAACATTTTTAATAATCAGACCTAATAATTCCCAAATATAGAATTCCACCACAATTCTTCCACGCCTAATCTATTTCTTAACACTTTGTGGGCCACTGTCACGCTGGCGTGACTTTTGCTCGCCAACGGTTATCGGCCACTGTCACGTACGCGTGACTTATTTTCGCCAATGACGATGCTTCACATCGACGTTTTATAAATAGACATACTATAGCAAAACATTTGACGATCAGGAAACATTGGTTTCAACTGTTTTCCTCTCCCAATTCACCAGACTCTCTATTATTGAAATCTTTTTTCGTGGACGCTTGTTTTGTTAGTTTGAGACTGTCTTTCGCTGCCTTCAAATATTGGAAACTTATGTTAGATTTAAAGATATCCTTCAAAATGCTCTTCAATGAGAAAATATAAGCTGAACTGTTATTAGAAGAGGATAATTGCTCTGACAGTGAAAGTAATTCAGACAGTGGGAGCAATATAACTGTGAGACGATTCAAAAATAAGGGAAGAACAATAATTAATGAATCTGAAAGTGATGAAGAGAATTCTGTGGCAAATGATTGGTCAGAAGTTGATTTTAAACCTAACTTTCATTCTTGCCCGGAACGGTTTGGGTTACAGGTACTATACACACCAGATATATCAACAACTGTGGAATTGTTCATTGGGGAAGATTTATTTAATTTGTTTGCCACACAAACCAACTTATATCATAATCAGCAAAATAATCTTTAGGGAAGGGGAACCTTATCTTTCATATGCATATTATCTTATTCATATGCATGTAATTTTATCATATGCATATTAATTGGGGAAACCTTATCTTTCGATACAGAATTACAAAAATTTTTAAATAAAATTTTTGCACAAAAATTTTTAAATAAAATTTTTGCAGTATACAGAATATCAAACTTGTGGATAATATTTAGAGAATAAAGCGTTAAATCAAAAGGCATATGTAAAAATACAATTTGGTGAACAGTTTAATTACACCCAAAATCATTTCTTAGAAATGCAAAACCACAATTTCCTTTCTTCTTCTTCAAAATATTTTTCTACGCCAGATATTAATATAATATTAATAAGATATTAAATATTTAAGTTTCTTACCTTCAGGATCTATACTTTTTGTTGTTGTCACATATTTTATTCCATGTTAAATTACTGTTTGCTACACTGGGAATAATTTAAAAAAAAATGAAATATTTCAAACTGACAAATTATTCTTAAAGATTTATCACTTATATTTTGTTGTTCCTGTACTGTTACTACTTTTCACATCAAATGCTGAATCATTAGAATTAGGATAAAAAACTGAACAATGAAATTTTGAAAGACATGGCACATTTCCCTTAGTTGCAGTCTAAGAGAAGCGTTCTGATGGACAATAGTAAAGCTGCATAATATTTAGAATTTATTCTGTTTTAACATACACTTCATTATAATTTTTGATTTGATATAAGACACTTCTGGAATGATTGGGCTCTCATTAAACAAAAAGCAAAATTTCTCAGGCCTATTACACTAAACAAACAGTAAGCCTGAAAATGAAATCTAATGCTTAAGCTACCATTTTGTCAGATCACTGATTTTAAACCAGGGACTTATAGAAGGACGTAAACCTGCTCAATGCTTAAAAATACCCCATTTCATTTGCATTCATATAAAAGCAAATGAGATTACTTAAACCACATAGATGGAATAAACTGCATATTTTGAAAATCATCTATGATTTCTTAATTGCCTGATTTACTGAAATTCATTTTTATTCACAACCACACTTTTTTACGTCCATAAATTTGGGATTCTGCAATCATTAAATATGCATAAAATATAAAATAGATACATTATATAAGCAATTAATTGTTACCACTGTTTAAGGAATGTAACATCAACAGTATGAATATACCAGAAGACCAAATATCTGCCCAGTTTTGAACCGGAAGCTTCAGGATATAAATTGAAAATCATTAGATTCAGACTAAAAAAGGAAGACTAATAATTTTTTTTGGGGGGGAACACTTAATATTTTTATACAAAAATACAAATACATAATTTTATACAAATATATATATAATTTTATACAAAAAATATAATATAATAAATAAATATAAATTAAATATTTTTGCATAAAATTTTGTACGAAAAATATAGATAAGAATATAAAATTCTCTTTTTATATATTTTTCAAACACCTATGTACAATACTTTGTTTTAAAAGATTATGATGATTTTATTTTGAACCCTTTTTCAAATTATACTACCCTGAAACACATAGTTTTGTTGCTCTAAATTCATTTCTTCAGGTTTAATTCAACTCATAAAAGAAGTTACAAAATTTAAGTATTTTTCCCTATAAAGGGGAATCAATTTTAGCCAAACATTGATGAAGAGACAAAATGTAGCTTGAAATAGTAATGGCAACTCTAAATATGCATTTAAAAATGCATCCATGCTAAAAAATATAATCATGGTTATTTGAATAAAGTTTCTACTAAGTGTAATTTGTTTTCCTGAAAAAATAAGGCAGACTAGCTGTCACATAGCAATTGCTAAATTTAAAATTCATCTACATTTCTTTGAAAGGGTTTCTAAATCAAAAGATATTCAATTCACAATGTTTGGCTTGCTTGGATATAAAAATACTTAATACAGACCTTTTCTTTCTCCAAGTGAGAAAAATATGTTTTTGGCATGCACAGTACTAAAACTAAGACCAAAGTCCCACGGAATGAATATATTTATTTAAATAACAAAACAAAATTTTTGGAATATTTTTTAAGTACATACATTAATACTGAACCACAAGTTTTAAAAATCTAAATTTTATAGCTGCCGTAAGAACTTAAATATCACCTTATGGTCTCATCTTGCTCATCTAATGGTTCCACAGCAACTGGTACACTAGGATTAGACAACCTTATGGTGCGAATGCAGTCTTGTACATAGGCCTAAATATATAAATAAAAAATGGTCAGATTCAATGCAATGTTTAAAAGTTTTTAAAAGTACTTTAATCTATACATAAAAAATCCAATTCCAATATTTCATGCTTTATATGCACAAGGAACATTTTCCTATAGAAGTAAATCAGTGATATTTAATTTTTTAGAAAATTATAATATTGAAGGAGAAATTAATACCCAAATGAAATATAAAGCATAATATCAGTCAATAAATATGAGAATAATAAAGTTAAGTAATATGAGTTACAAACAGAAAAGTTATGCATTATGTGGGTCACACACAGGAATGGCCAAATAAATGTACACCCTTTAATAATGTTTTCTATGGTTTTTCCTAATATTTTATTGAATTACAGTAGCTGTGTGTAATATATTGTAGAAACTATAATTACAGCAGCCAGATAATGCTGTGCATCTGACTTCCTTTTCAGTTAATTTCTTTATTATAGAGACTGTAAACAATGGTGAACGATCATTTTTGTTAAGTGCAAAATATACATAGCTCGATTTATAAGTGTTTTCTTCAATGTTATGTATTGTTAGTGCTGTAAATAAAATTGTAAAATATCCTGGATTGAATAGATCTGACAGGTAAGGGACTTTCACCATTTTATTTGTTTTGAATAGAATTCTATACGAAAGTGATGTTAGATGTAAACTTAAGTTACAACATATATGATGTTCTTTCAAAATCTACATAACTTGCACAAATGCTAAAGACATATAATAGTCAAACCAAGAAAGCTATGGTTGTCATTTACAGAGAAACCAAATTAAAACGGTAGTTCAAAATTGAAACTGTTGTGAGAAAGAAATTAATATGACATGCACAACATCAAACCAAAAAACAGCCATTGTTACTAATGCACCTCTGTAGATGTCAGAAATGACTCACAGTCGCATTCTGATAAGCACACAGAGTATTATAGTTTTTGAACACATATTTCTTCAGTTAAGATGCATATACATTATAGGTTTTCGTTGTAATAACATTCTATCATTCACAAAGCCACATAATACAGAAGTTTTCACTTCAAATAGGCAAAGCAACAAAAAAGGCAGTTTTCTATCATAAAGTTTAAAATTTTGAAAATCAAAAATTTAATGAACAATGAAAAAAGTGAGTTTATTTAAAATAAAATTAAAAAAAAACCAATGGTAAGTTAGCATATCTACTTTTCAGATCTGAAGAAGGGAGGAAATAAATTTTAAATGAAGAAAATTCCGGGCATTAGCCCAGAAAGGGCTATTAGTCTTGAAGCAGCATTTTAAGTTGGTTCACTATGAATGCCCGTTTCACTTTTCAAATCATTGCCACTAAATATTATCACCCTGTATTTAAAGAAATTAAATAATGAAGAATCTGCACAAATGTATGAATGTTTCTTGCATTGTGAAAAAACAACAGTACCTAAAGCCATCAAATTTTGAATACTGTAGTCCTCCACCCAAGTATGAGCATCTGGAAGAAGCCTGACTTCGGAATTTCTTCTATTGTGTATATCATATTTTGTAAAACTTTGACTAATTTTTGATTAACAAACTCAACGATTTCAAAGTCAGCAATAACAACACTGGGGGGGGGGGGATTATCTCCAACCTGTCTGCTGGAAATTCTAAAGATAAGCTGTTTTTGAATATTTTTAGCCCAAATGCTCTTGAAACATGTATGTGTGTGTAAATGAAAAAAAAATGGCATAATATAAAATCTGAAAGCTTTCAGATTTTTTTTTTGGGGGGGAAAGGATATTTATACATTCACACAGATGCTCCAATGAAAAACTATAACATAACAGATGGAGAAACAAAAATGCAGTACTTCCAACGATACAGTTCACCTTCAGCAAACTGATTTCTCTTCTTATCTCAGTAACAACACACTGCATTTCAGTAATTTTATGCTGATGACTTTGAAGCATATTTCTTACTTCTCTAACACAATTATGGTCCTAGAAAAAGAAAGAAAAATATAGAAGCAAAACTTTTTTATTTTATGTAATACATTCTCAATTTCAATACAAGTTGATTTTTTTATACATTATATAGCCAAAAAAAAAGGCATCAGATATCCTATCGCTCCAAAAGGTATATATGAACAAAATTATAAAAAATGTAAATGCTATTAAGAAAGTAAAAAATGTAAAACTATTAAGAAAGTTGTTTGTGCTTGTAATAAATGAACAAAACCCCACAACTTTTTTGAAGAATGCATGATAGGGCCAAAAGATTTGGTTGTTTGGCCACTAGGATTTCTGCACAACCACATGCAGTAAGTACTTTCTACTTTGAAGAAAGTGGAAATATGGAGCTGGTTAATTCCAAGAAATTGAAAGATCAAGACTGATGAAATCAGAAATACACTGCAAAACAAAACAGCTAGTTCCTGCAAAATAGCTCCTGTCTCCACTTATAAATACAAGCTAGAGAATTAATATCCATCAAACAAGAATGATTACATTACATTTGTACAGTTTTAAAGTCACTGTTCACATGCCACCAAATGGCTTCAGTGACACAGCAGTGGAAGCATATTTTAAAGAATCAAAGTAATGACATTCCATCAAACCTCCTTAGATTTGGGGATGACCTGTCTTCTGGATATTTATAAAACCATACTGTATCAATAAAGAAATCTGGATACTTATGTATTAACATGACCACTCTGGCAGAGTTTCATGGTTTTATAGAAGAAAACAGACTTAAATGCAAATACTTATTTATAACAAAAATACTTATTCTGAAAAATCAATCAATAATTTGCTTACATGCTGGTTTTGTTTTATTTATTCTAGTGAGAATTTTGTGGTTATTGATTTAAGAATAACTTCAGAGAATTGTTTCCTTTAGCAATTTAACAAATAAATATATAAATAAAAAAGTGCTTATTTCTGGAGAAATTTAATTAGTTTCTTGCATTGCAGGCAAATTCCACAAGCTATTTTGAAACTGAGTTTAAGACAAAAAATATCGCCATCAATGCATAAAAGTCATTGGAGCATCAAACACAACAGAAAGAATTCAGAGTTTGGCACATACTCAAAATTTGGCAACTTCTGCTAATATTGTTGTGCTAATATGTCAAACACAAAAATTTAGAAATGGCAACATTATAATCTAAGACACTTTCTATCAATTTATGGTTCCTTTGCTTCAGTCCTCAAGTCTCCAAAGTCTGATTGCCTATTCTGGGATTCTAGACAACTGTATCTTCCTCAGCATAGCAAATACTTGCAGTAATTTTGATTCAAATGTGACAACACTCTGATTGACAATCCATGATCATGCTTTGGAAACTGCTAGAGACAGATCAAAGTTTTGACTTAAATCATGAACCAACTATGGAAAGAACTGGAACACAAACTTTAGACAGAAATTAAAATTATCAAAATTTTAGGATGCAACTAAAGGAATAAATCAAAACTTAGTGAAGAGGTTATCCATGATAGATAAAATAACGAGAAGAGGGGGGGGGGCGGTTCAACTTCAAAACACTTCTATAGCCTTTAGATGATTTTGAAGGAATGTTCCTCAAATTTTCTAGTGTCCTCTTTATTTTAGCAATTTAGAAAGATAAAACTGTAATGCATCTAGTTTGTATATTTATCATATCAGTTCCATCTTCATTATAAATAAACATTATTTAAGGTTTTCTGTACACCTATGATCTGATTGTTAAGCCTAACATATCACTACCTCTGTGCCAATGTTTGCTCTAATTTTTCTAATAAAATAGAGTCCCGAAAACTCCATACTCGGTAACCCAGCAGTCCGGATAACTCGGCCACACCCTGGCAGGTCGAAAAATGTTCAAGGTCATTGTCCGTGAGCATGCATCCCCTGCTTCCTGCATTCCTTTGTCTCACATCACACTCCCACTCCTCCACCAAGTTGCTGGCGCACATTCAGCTGTTCAGTCTACTGCAGCCTTTGCCAGGGTTAGTCAATTTCTTGGCCGTGTTGTGTAATTCGATTTGGGTGACTGTACTGTATTGTTCAAAGCTGTTTCAGAGTTTGTGGGTGCTGGACAGTACTCTGCGGTGGCATCTTCCGTTAACAATTTAAGGTTCGGTGCATAAAAAAAATTAGTGGTAAAATAACTTTACATATAAATAATTAGCCCCTAATACAACGTTCTTTCATGCCACCTCCAAAAAAAAAAACAGGTTAACCTTTAAGGTAATTCATGACGTGGTGGGATACCGCTTGTCCCACTGCGAATCTAGAGCAGTAAAATGGAATCTTTGCCTGATCGTAAATTCTCTTGACATGCTTATTTAAAGTGCTAGTTTTACCAACCAAATGAAAATGTGAGATATAAAAACGTTTTTGAATAATTATCTAGAAAATATTAATCATATTCGCAAAATAAAAATTTTTTTCAAACAAATTTCATAATTTAAAAGAAATTGATCTCTGTATGACTTTTTAGATATCTTTTAATGATTTCATAATAGATTTGAAATAGACAAGATTTTTGCTCCTGTACTTTATTTGCTACAGGTTTGAAAAAAAAGATATTTAGAAGATTGTCATGTTTATTTACATTTCACCTCTCTTTCTCTACTTAGGATATTTTTCTATGGTGAATCCCATTCACATATCCATTCAGTATTCAATGACAATTCATGTTACATTTTCATTCTTTCGGAAAAAATACTAAATATTTTTCAAGTTTTAACATTATTGCAATTTAGTGAAAAATATAAATTTGCATTATCAGCATATAAAATGAATGTGATACTTGAATTTAAAAATATTTGAACAGTGCTGCCATCTAGTAGCAGCAATTCCTACATGCGCGGTGGGACGTATTTGTGCCACCTTTTAATTTCAACCATTCTAAATTAATATAATATATATGAATTCAAATAACAATTTTTATTAGAAAAGGAAACTTTCGCATAAAAATATTCATTCTAGCACCAAAAGTTATTGTTCAGATGATTTAAATTACATTATAAATTAAGAGGGAAAAAACTTCAAAATTAGACCTGCAAAGAATTTATATTTTATATTATTTCCATGAATGAATACTAATGCTGCCATCTGTTATACATTTAGAGAACTAAAAGGCATAATTGTATGTATTTTACATGGAATTTTGCACCTTTTATTTGGGAGATAAAAATAGATAAAAAAGGTGGGTCAAAGGGTTAAAAGAAAACAAGTGAACAGTCTATAGAGCAAAAGTTGAAGGCATTAAAGAGACTGGATAAGAGAGAAAGTGTCAGTGCAGTGGCTAAAGACTTAGAAGTCGACAAAAGTATGATTGGAGACTGAAAGAAGAAGTAGACGGAAATTGAATTGTGGTGTGTTAAGAGAATGTGTACAGAAACATTGAAAGAAAGGAAAAGTATGAAAATTAAAATGAAGTTCATAAGGAACTTTAATGAGGAAAATGAAGAACTTTACATTTGGTTTCGCCAAAGAGAAAAAGGTGGGCCAATCTTGCAAGAAAAGGCCTTGAAATTTTATGAAGAATTAAAAAAAGACAATAATCCTATATTTGTCGTAAGCACTGGCTGGCTTGCTTGCTGTAGAAATGACATGGAGTACGACGGTTTAGTAATAGTGGGGAAAAACTAACTGGGGACACAGAGGGTATGTCTCAGTTTAAGGAAAACTTTCAGAAATTTATCAAAGCTGAAGGTTTGATCACAGAGCAATTGTACTGTTATGATGAAACAGGGTTAAATTATAAACTGTTACCAGTGAAAGGTCTTGCTTTTTTAAGGAAGAAAAGTCAGCCTTGGTTTAAAAGGAGCAAAGGAGAGGGTAATAATCCTAGCCTGGAGAAATGCAACAGGCGACCACAAATTAAAACTTGGTCCAAGCTTCTGAGGCCCCTCTCAATGGCGGCACAGACCCCACAGTCCCTGCCCGGCTTTCTACACAGACCTGGACAAGGCAATTAAAAATGCTTAGTACAAAAAAGATCACTATGACATCTTTGCCTCTGGGCACCACTCCATTGGCATCAAAATTTCACTTGGTGCCTTGTCCGTTCTGTCAGTCCCTGTCACTGGGACTCTGAGGGCCAACACCCGTCGATTAGGTTGGTGATCTCCGATTTAGCTTCACAACAGCCGAAGGAACGGACACAACAGCACCAGTACGATCCCTACCAAGCCCAAACCTGCCTTAGAATAAACTAGTGCTCTAGTCCTGTGAAGTTAAATTATGTGCCTCCATGGTTGAGACTGCCTAAGTACAGATCCTAGCCAGTACTTCCCAGGAATTCTCCCGAGTTAACTTCCAAAGAGAACAACATTACGACATTACTTTCCAATAAATTTCAATAAAAATTAGTCAATTTTTACGCCTTTTCACATCCTTGACTGCACCACAGCCTGTTTAGTTATGCTTACAGATAAATCAAAATGCAGTACATAAGGAACTTTATATGGCAATTAAGGCCAAGGGCCTACAGTAATGTCCTTCAGCTTTTGCATAGGTTTTGAAAGTGAAGTATAGCACACTAATCCTGTTTTTCCAACAACCAAAAATGAATCTGCCAGTAAAAAAAATCAAGTTTGCATTTCAATAACCATTGGTTTCTACTCTACAGAAATTCGAAGATTTTTCTTAGATTCGACTACTGCCAATACTTTCTACACCATATATAAATGATTATTGTTAGATTTCATAAATTCATTCCATAATAACATACAAAAACTTTGTATAATGAACATTCTCACTGCAACATTAAATCTATTAACCATTAAAAAAATATAGATTAGTTTTAGAACAGTATTAGTTTATTTATCTGTTCTCAACAAGTTACCAATGATATTTTCAATCAAAAATTAATCTATTTAAAGTTTTATTTTTGCTGCATGCTAGTAAGTTATTAACCTTCAATTACATTCAGCATTACAAATTCAGTATAGCCATTTGTAACACTAGGTCATACATTAAAAAGTAAAAATAATTTTTAAGAACAGTACACAGATTCATACGCTCCACAGTAAAAGTTCGCAATGCAGTTACAACAAATTAAGATTATGACACTTTGAATAGCTGATGTAACCATTACTGACAAAACTGAATAGTATTCTTACTATTCAGCTCCCTTGTTGATAAATAAAATATGTAAAAAGAAACAGCAATTTTGCTGGAAAACAGAGTTTCAATATTATATTATGTAAAAAACATTGCATTTATTTTAAAACTACTATGCAAAATAAAAACTTCACGTTTAACAAATATTAACACAAATGATGAATAAATAGGAAATAAAATTAATATAACAAAGTGATTATTTGGTGCATTATCCATCAGAATGAAGTAGTATGTAGACAATACAATGCATTTAAGACACATCCAAGATAAAAATATTTAACATATATTATTTTCAAGCTTTAAATGGAAAATAAAAATACACACCTTTAATTCGTCTTTAGGAATGACTAGTCCACAACCTTGCTCGCAGGGCACGGGCCTTTTTGGATTATGCTCACATTCTTCCCGGTGTACTTCTAAACGTTCCAGTTTAACTACGAGCTTGCATCCAAAACTTGCATTATCACACATTATAAGCAAACGAGACAAAAGATTACGCAAGATACGTGGAGCTGGCTTTAATTCACTAGGAGTGATAGGCTGCCTATCTACTGGACACGAATGCTGCCTAGTGAGCCATTCATTTATACAATTTTTACAAAATGCATGTTCACACTGTGGAGCCTGGAAGAAACAGAAAACATAATTGGTAAAAATTTTTGGTACTTTGATTATCTGCCCATCCCTGAGAAGAATCACTGAACTTCATTGCCAAGGTAGGCAATCTAGAATTTTATGAAAAATACATGTATCGGATAACCCACAAATTCTTATCAGTGTGGAATTCAGCTTTGCAAATTCAACAGTTATCTTTGTGGCTACTGCTTGCTGTGATTAAGTATGTACAGTCCCCCTCTTTCTACCGAATCAGAATCACTGTTTGCCTGCTAACAACAAAGAATGTGTAGCATACATAAAAGAACCATCTGGGATGAAACACTAAAAATTACATAAAATGGTTAAATTAAAAACAGCTGAACGGTGTCCACCAGTTGTAAAAATATAAATATTGTTGGGATTAGTTTTCATTATTGCTGTTAAAGTAATTAAAATGCATATAAAATGGCACATCTGGCGAGCTTTATTTATCTCCAATGTTATATCATTACAGAAATCTTGAAGTTAAAAAATAAGTTATTGACTGTTTTTAAGGTAACTGTAATAATAGCTTTTCCAAATTAGTGTAATTCTCTGATGTTTTTCTAAAGTTAAAATAGGTTGATGTCTATATGGGAGAAAAGTGGGAGGGGGGAAATATATGTTTTTATTATGGACATTTCTTGCATTTTTAATCCAGTTAATTTATGTAATTTTTAATGTTTCATTACGGATGTTTTTTGTAATTTATATTTCAATAATTCGTAGCTCTTTTAAGAAATTTTTAGTGTGCTGCCACTTTTCAAAAAGGTTAATATGTCTGATGTTGTGGAAAAATTAGTTGCTAACAACTGATGACTCTGCAGAAAAGTTGGGCAGATAATCAAACAGTATTGTATTCCCCCAGTGCAGTCATTGACTGGATTCAGTTACCAATAAGAACAGCTTTGCTAAATCTGAATAGTTGAACCAAAAAAGCTCATATTAAAGAAATATACGTAAGCCTTTTTAATAATTCCAAAGATCATTTCAAAAATATGCATCTGAATCTTTTCTCAGTTTGATTTTACTCCACATAATAGTGAGAATACACTGCCTTAAAAATATTAACACAAATGTTCAGAACTGTTTTCTAAAATATTTTTAGTTTAGTTAATCATTTATTATGAATTATTTAAATAATTGAATGCTACTTAGTAGCTAAGTTCATCACTTATTTAGGCAGCAAAGAGTTTCTTAATTTTTTTTTAAACCAACATTCCAACATTCTTGTTTCTAATATGTTTAAACATTATGTGTGGTAAAGTATTTTGAATAATATTTTAAACTGATATGATTAATATATTTCTATTTTGCTCATTCCAAAATCTTAAACAAAAAAGTGCAAAAATTATGCTACCGTGCAAATAAAATATTGCAAGATGAGAATTGTTTGACAACTGTAAAAGACAAACAAGAAGTGAATTATATTAAGATGGGCAATAATACTTTTCCCTCTTTTTTTAAAAGCAACAATGTAATTAAAAACAAAAAAGAAATATATTTGGTTTAAACCAGTCTTTTAGTTGGCAACTCTTCTCTGGTCTACAGACTCCTCACACATAATGAGTAATATCCAAAATTAATACTTCATTTGTAATTCATTTTTATTATGAAAAATATAACTCTAAAAATGTACACTTCTACAGTAATTCAGGCACAAATAAGTGGTCTAATATAACTTTCATAGAATTAGAAATAACATCTACAATTGAATATGCCATCAAACTTCATGATGACATTCAGTTCAAATGATGAAAGTTCCTCTACTGCACATAAATTAATTCGAACTTTTCAAAACAAAATTTTCATCTTGAATAAAGAGTAGGTACAATCATGTATTTATAAAAATATATTAGTTTCAATTTTCTTACAGATTTATAAGGATATTTTTGTAAATGTTATAAAATATAATATTCTATTAAATATAATAATTATAAATATACAGTTCATACACTTTCAATTAAAAGAATAAACAAGAAACATTACTTATATTTATTTTGATGTCTTCTCAGAATAACAAATGGACTGCATGTGTATAAGGATGACCACCACTAGGTTTTCATACTAGATCTGTTACTTTATATATATATATATATATTTTCATTCTAATACACTAACCAACAGACCTAGTACTTTCTCCGAATTACAATAATAACAGGTAAAAAGATTTGAAATTCACTCATTATTTTGAGCACAGTGGAAGATATATTGAACAAAACATTAAAAAATCTCTTAATTAAGACACATTTTCTCTTCTTAACATTCATTTAGCCAACAATAAATCTAAATTTAGATACCCTCATTTTATCATCTAATTTTGTCAATAAAGGACAAAATGAAAATAAACAGACTTTACGTAATATCGGAAAGTTGCAAATATCCTAAATGCAATCAACAATAAAAGGAATCAATTGAAAAGGTAAGTCTGCCCATTAAATAGGTAAGTGTTTTAGCCTTACTAAAATGAGTTTAGATAAAAGTGAAGGCCCAGAACTCTTTCTGGCAATACAACTCTTTGAAGGGATGGTTAAATTTTCTTTTTTTTTATCTTCAACTGCCATAATGAATTGGAGATGGTGTAGAAATGGTATCAACTGTGGAAAGTACATCAGTTACAAAATTCTTTTCTTCTGTGAGGTATTGAATATTTGTTGAAAATTGCACAATATAACTCAGCTGTCTTGCTTATCTGGAAGAGGTTTTGTCTAAATTTTATTGAAAAGCAAAGGTGATAGGTTTATGGTCCATGTAAATGATGAAAGATCTTCCTTCTAATATGCACCATAAATGCTTTACTGCAGTGTAGACAGACGAAAATTCCCAGTCATACGCACTGTATTTTCTCTGTGTATCGGTTAACGAAGTGATCACCAAACTGTCGACTGCGAGCCGACGTTGACGACAACAGATGTTTGTTTATCCCGAGTAATTGTCATTTGTCAGCCTCATCTCATCGTGAATTGTAACACATGAGGTTGCATGCATTGTTTTTTGTAAGCATATTAGACAGTTGTTACCCTGAATAGTTTGATTTCTGTATTGGTACTAAGCTAAGTGTGTTCTAACGATGGCGTGTTCAAGGAACTCTGAACGTCACTTGAAAACCATTCATGCAGAGACTAAAGGATTTCCCACTGAAATCTGATCTAAGAAAAGAAAAGGTAAGGCAGCTAAAATTCAAACTTAATGCTCAACAATCAACATTTTTAAAACTATTAAACAAGAATAAAGCAATAACTGAGGCATCGTTCAGAGTTTCAAATATTACTGCACAGTAATTAAGACACAATAACACGCTGAATAAATACTAATTCATTTGCAGTTTTGCACCTGAGGATGGTGGTTCGATAAAACCATCGAAACTAGTCCTGTGAAAATTTTGTAAATATAATGCTGAATTAGTATTACTGCACAGACTAAGAAACACTATGAAGACGGTGAATTAACCAAAACTGCATTTTTAGAAGCTGCAGATGCATTATTTGATAGTTTCAAAAATAAAACTGAGATAATGTTTGCTATTAAATCTGTGCAGCTTTCTGCAGATACAGCAACGTGAAGGTTTGAAGTTATACGTTCTGACATTAGCTGACAATTTAAAACTGACTTTGATCGCTGCAGCTATTTCTCCCTGTAACATGACAAACTAACTGATATAAATGATACAGCTCAGTTGGGTGTTTTGCAAAAATGGTTTTTGATAATTTTGAAATAAGAGAGAAGCTGATGACAGGACAGGACATTGTGAGCAGTTAAAGATCTTACCAACCCTGTAAATATTCCTATAAATAAATTGGTGGGCTAAGCAATTGATGGAACTCCTGCGGTGGTAGGCAGAGAGAAGGGATTTACAACCTTGTGTCGTAAAGACAACAGCTCTGAAATTTCGAGAATACACCAGGAGTCATTGTGTGGAAAGTTTTTCTGTATGAATGTTATGAAAACAGTCATAAAAATAGTGAAGAAAGAGCACATGTAACTCAGAGACATTTGTTCAGAGCACTGACTGATGGACTAGATTGCCAGTATGGTGATCTAGTGCTTCATGCAGAAGTTCATAGTTTGAGGAGAGGCAGAGTTTTACAACATTTTCAAGAGTTGCTTCCTGCTTTAGTAGAATTTTTGAAAGAACATGACGAATCCTTCTGTGAACTAGAAGATCCGGTTTGGCTGCAGGATTTTGCTTTTCTTGCAGACATCACCAAAAAGTTAAATACCTTTAACTTGCAGCTTCAAGGTAAGGATAAAGATATTGGCAGAACAATTGTAGACATTGCTTCAGTCTGAAAAAAGCTGAAACTGTGGGGGAAAAATACCATCCATGGTGAATACAAATACTCTGCCTGTTCGAAACAACCCTTGACAGCAAGGATCTTGAATGCCTCTTTACAACAGCAAACAGTACGTTGAAATTATTTCACATTTGAGAATTGAATTGGCAAACAACTGCTTCTAAGATTTCAAAAGGAATTCAGGTGTTGCAGTTTGTCAAATCGCCTTTTGTAGACTGATGCTGAAGAGTTCTCTACTTGTGTCTCGAAGCACTTTGATTTTCAAGAAGACAATTTTTTAAAAAGATTTTTAAAAAAAAGTTGATAGTTCTTTTCTGTAGCTCACAGCAGGATTTAAAAACAACACAGTAGCTCAGAAGCTTCATCATTTTGGTGACCACTGGGTTAAAGAATGTGAGAAGAAACTTATTGGATGCATCTCTCAATGTTTAAGTTGATGTATGACAGCCCCTACGGCAGTATCATAAACAACATGTGAGAGATCAGAGTTATTTGAGGGATGGACAAGCTTAGTAGCATGACAAAGAGCATTTCTGAGGTTTCTGAATGAGTTACAAGAATCTTTAGTCTATATTAGAGATATTTTGCTGTTTTTGCGATTTCTGTTATGTAATGAGGTTAGAGGCTGTTGAAGCTTGGTGGAATTTGGAATAAAATGGTGATGAACATTAATCATTCCTAAGAACTCGCACA